TGCCTTTCCTTATATTAATAGAGTCTGTAAATTCTCCCTCCATCATTACCTTAGCTGTTTATTCATGGTAAATTGCTTCTATTGCCTGAATAAATCTTCTAGCAAAACCCATCTGTTCCAATAAGAGTAACGTAAATCTCCAATTCACATTGTCAAATGCCTTTTGGGTATCTAAGAATATCAGAGCCATTTGCTTTTCAGGATGCGCCTCATAATATTCCAAAGTGTCCAGAATTACTCTCATATTATCTCTAATTTGCCTCTTTGGCAAAAATCCATTTTGGTCTGGATGAATAAAATTATTCAAATATTTTTTAAGTCTTTCTGCTAATATCGAAGCAAAGATTTTATAGTCTGCATTTAATAGAGAAATCGGTCTATAATTCTTAATTTGCAGTGGATCAGCCTCCTCTTTTGGAATAAGTGTAATATAGGCTTCTGACCATGTTTTAGGTATCATCTTCTTTGACATAGCTTCATTCATAACTTCTAACAGTGGAATACTCAGTGACTCTTGTAATGTTTTATAAAATTCTGCAGGAAACCCATCTGGACCTGGTGCTTTCCCATTATTTTGTTTCTTGAGTGCTTGACTTAATTCCATCATTGTTATATTACTTTCTAACATTTCTTCAGTCTCTTTGGATATCTTAGGTAAATTTGCATTCTGCAAGTACTGTTTAACTTTCTCCTCATCAATATCCTCTTTCTTATATAGATGTCCATAAAAATCTCGAATAATTTCTTTTTTTTCTTTGCTACCATAACAAACTTGACCTTGGTCATCTATTAGCTGCGATATTTTCCTCGACTCTTTCTCCTTTCTCAGCTTATATGCTAGCCATCTACCTGGCTTATTTGCATCTTCAAAATAATTCTGTTTAGCATTCCTAATTTTCTGTGCCAGTTCTTCTTTCTCTATTAAGTCCATTTTATGTTTAGTTATGTCCAGTTTCAGTTTGATGTCTTTTTTCTGTGGCATTTTCTGTAGTTCTTTTTCAAGTCTTTTATACTCATCCTCCAAGGCTTTAATGGCTTGCCTTTTCCTAATATTCTTTTTTCTTGTGTAGTCTATTATCAAACCTCTAACATATGCCTTCATTGTATCCCACACATTCTGTATTGAAGTATCTTCTTTTCTATTTTCTTTGAAAAAAAAGGCCAGTTCTTTCTCCATCCATTGTATAAAAACTTTCTCCTTTAGAATAGTATTATTTAACGTCCATCTCGATCTTTTTTTTTTGTCCCTTCCATTTAATTGTCAATGGATTATGGTCAGCCCAAGTACTTGTTTCAATGTTTACTTCTTGAACGCTAGATATTAATTCTGTTGAAATCCAAATCTTATCTAATCTGGACCATGATAAATGTCTATTTGAATAGAAAGTATATTGCTTAAGTTTAGCATTTCTTTCTCTCCATATATCTTTTAAAATTAGTTCATCTGTCATTTTAAAAAAGGATTTAGGAAGAGTCTTTCTATTATACTTTGCTGTTGTTGCTATATAGTCCAGTTTATTGTCCACGATTCCATTAAAATCTCCCATCATAATTATATTAGCGTAGTCCAGTCCAGCCATTTTCATATGTAATTTTTTGTAGAATTCTTCCTGTTTATCATTCGGAGCATAAATTGCAGTCAAAAGTTTCTTTATATTATTGTCCGTTATTTCCACCATTAATATTCTCCCATCTTCATCAGCGTAAATCAATTTTGCTGGGGTGGCCTCTTTGATATATAAAACCACTCCTCTTTTCTTACATTGGGTCAAAGAAGTAAACAATTTCCCTAATTTTGGTTGTACTAACAATTGTTCATATTGCTTTTTAATGTGTACTTCTTGTAAACAAATTATATCAAATTTTAATTTCCCTAATTTATGAAAAATCTTCCTTCTCTTAGCAGCTGAATTCAGTCCATTTATATTCATTGTAATCAGTTTTTTCTCTTCCATGGTTATATTTTATATTTAGGTTTAGCCGCTCTCGTAGATCTTGGTTCCCGCTGATCTTTAATATCCACCTGTCCACCTACTGCGCCTTCTTCTTTTTCAATCTCCATTTGTTCCTCTTGGAATTCAATTAATGAAATCTCTTTTTCTGCCTCTTCTTCTCTCCTTCCAAAAAATTCTGCGTAAAAAAGTTCTGCTTTCTCAATTGAATCAATTCTGTGTCTCTGTTCTTGCCATGTAAACATCAATCCTTCTGGAATCAGCCATCTGTAATTCACCTCCTTTTTCAATAACATTTTGGTCAGAAATCGATATTCTCTTCTCATCTCTCTCACTCTTCTGGGTATTTGTTTTAAGACCAAGATTTCTTTACCTTTATATTTCAACGTCTTCTCTCTTGCCGCTTGTAAAATTTGTGTCTTGATAGATTTTTTAGTAAATCTAATATGGACTTCTCTGGGTAAATTATTTCTCATCGCATATCTTGTAAAGACTCGGTATATCTCATCTACTCCATCCATCATCTTTTTCTCTGTTATTTCCAAAGCGTCCGCCAAGTTTTCTATCATTATCGCAGCCAAATCTTGCCCTTTTTCTTCCTCTATATTTTGAAATCTAAGATAAAATTCTGACCTCTCCATCTCCCACTTCAGCATCCCACTTTTTTCTTGTTCAACCACTGTTAGTCTGCTATCAATATTTCCAATCTTCTCCTCTCTTCGTTTACCCTCTTCTTCAACTTTTTGGAGTCTCTCATCATACTTCGCCATCATCTGTTGGATATTTTCCACTTTTTCCTCAGTCCTCCCTGTTTTTTGTTCAATGGTGTCTGTTTTTATCTTAAGGTCTTGAATTCCTTGCATAATCATCTGTAAGGTTACTTTTTCTTGGTCTTTGTCTTGCTTTAACATTACCTGAATTGAACGTTGTCCAGATGGTGGGGAGGCAGAAGTAGACACAGAGGCACCCGAAGGTATAAGTTTCCTACTCATTTTAGATGGTTCAAAATCTTCAAGTTCTTTCAAATTTTAATCCAATTAGGAAAATAACCAATTATAATCCAAAATGGAAAAGTCCAATAATAAAAAGCCCAATAATAAAGGAGAAAGAAGAGAAAAGAGAGAGAGAGAAAAGAAGCTATTTTCTAAAGTGCCTGTAGGCCAGACAATGAATAATGGATGGATACTGAACAAGGAGAGATTTAACCTGGAAATAAGAAGAAACTTTCTGACAGTGAGAACAATCAACCAATGGAACAACTTGCCTTCGGAAGTTGTGGGAGCACCATCACTTGAGACTTTCAAGAATAGATTGGACTGCCATTTGTCAGAAATGGTGTAGGGTCTCCTGCTTGGGTGGGGGGGGTTGGACTAGATGACCTACAAGGTCACTTCCAACTCTGATTATCTGTTATTTGTTTATCAAAACAAAACAAGAATTAAATGAAAAGGGATTGATATGAACTGGTATTTATATAGGCAAATACATTCTAGATATGAAAAAATGCAAAAGAGGAGGGATTTTATGATATGTTGACAGAATTGGATAAAATTCTCATCGGAACAGAGGAAAAGATGGTTAAAAATTATATCATTATCTATTAGAAGTGAAATTAGAAGAACAAGTAAAGGAGATGATGATAGCCTGGAGTGGGGGGGCGGGATTTTGGTTATGGGATTGAACTAGATAAATGGCAGAAACTATGGAATAGAAACTATAGATTAATAATGTCATCAGCATACAAAAAGAACCTATATAAGATGTTTTATAGATGGCATCTTGCGCCAGCAAGTTTGGCAAATATGTTTAAAGATAAATCAGCTAAATATTGGAAATGCCATCAGACACCAGGATCATATTATCGTATGTGGTGGACATGTACAGAAGAAAAAAGATACTGGAAAAAAATACACTTATGGTTAGAAAAAATGATAAAACAACATATAGACTTAAAACCCGAGATATTTCTATTGGAAATTCTACCTGATAACTGTAGTAAAGAAAAAATGTAATTGATTAGTCATATCTTAACAGCAGCTAGAATTATATTTGCTCAAAACTGGAAGAATAATAAGACTCCTACAGAAGAAGAGGTGATTATGAAAATATTTGAATGTGCAGAAATGAATAGATTAACATTAGAAATTAAAGAACAAGAAGATGCGGAATATTATATGATATGGGATGTATTTTATAAATGATTGGAAAACAAACAAATTGAATGAATATATTGATATTCATATAATATAATGAGAATACTATAATGATAAGAGAAAAAAGGATGAAATTTTTAATATGAATGTAACTTTAATGATATATATTATAGCATGAAATGTATATTAAATATGAATATGTGCACAAGATATATGTACCCAGTTAACACACTGTTGAACTGAAAGATGGTCATTTTGTAAAAGAAAATTTTAAAAAAATAAATTAAAAAAAAGACAGCTCACCAGGATGTCTTCAGGCCAGTCTACTCAGCAGGCGAGGTCTCAGAACTCCTCAGTGTAGTCAACCACCAGCTGGCAATTTTGTTTCACACTTCTGATCCAGTCACAGGCCTTCCAATCTGCTAGTGGGTCTTCAAATTGGTGACGGAGTGCCATCATGAAGTGGTTGAAATTCCACAGCTCTGGAGGGGTCAGCGCTGTGGAGGGTCACCACCTGGCTGTCGCTCCTTCCAGGGCCAGGGTACTGACCCAGGCGCCCTGAGTATGTAAATCACACCTGTATTCCTGCATGAATATGAGAACATGCACCAGAAAGAAGGTTATAAACTGAGAAATGCCTCCAGACCCCCTTTCCCACCAGTTAGCTTAATTAGCTTCTGAGCCCAGCCAAAACCAGTCAGTCACTGTGGGGTTTTTTTTCATTCATGCAAAACAATTTTTCTAATATGGACTTTTTTATTGAGCTAAGTGACTCAAATCTGCCTGAATCTCTTTCTTGTGTTTCTGAATAGATGCAGCAAATGTATCATTATAATCTGACCAGATTTGAAATAAACATCTGGTTTAATATGGAAATTGTTTCTTATGTTCATAGTGGACAGACCTGTCAGAGTCTATGCAGATGGAATATTTGATCTCTTCCATTCTGGTCACGCAAGAGCTCTCATGCAAGCCAAAACTCTGTTTCCTAATAGCTACTTATTAGTAGGAGGTAAGCCTGATACTTGAACAAAGATTATTTTTAGACTTATATTCTCTTTTATATGATTTGCTACGCAACCTCAGATTCCATGAATTTTCTAATTTTAATTTACTGAAAAGCAAGACCTTAATTTTAACCTTTTCCTAATTAATATTAGGAAATAACTAAAGTGCTTGCAAATATCACATAAACAGTTTGCTAGTCAATAAGGTAAATTTTATCTGATCCAGAAGATCTTTTTTTCTGTTTGTAAAGCTGACTTGTTACCTAAGACTTGTAGAATCTATGAAATTGAGATAAGAAATTAATATTACATATGATCAAGATCAGTTCTGGATTCTTCTTTCTTAGATATTAAATACAGAAATATGGAATGGAGTCCATTGAATGTCATGTCAAATTTATACACTGAAATATAATTGCTTTTTCCATTTGTTCAGAGAAGGCAATTGAACAACATGTCCCGATGACTGATTCTAATAGTTTCATAAGAAATTGGAACAATAATAATATCCGGAAAAAGAAATGGCGTGAAAAATAAGGAAATGCTGAAATAAAACAATTGCCAGTCTAGCTTCCCTCAATTTCATTGCTATCTCTATGTCTTGAGACAAATCTCAGACTTTCCATCTAGTACTGCAAAGAGAACTGCAAGAAAAGATTCACCATTCCACAATTAAAAAGTTTTGGGATTTGCATCTGAAAGAAACTAAGCTAGCAATTTTTCTGACCAGCAAATCAGAGAAACAGCTATCCAGCATAGGTTAGCTTTTAATGTACTGGCCGTCCAATATAAGCAAGTTTTCAATTGAGTACATGTGATCAAAGATTTGTGACTGAATGTGACTAAAAATTGTTTTCCAATTTTTGATTGCTACTTTTGTGATTTGGTCTGACAACTACTGGCTTAAACTCTGAAAATAGATTTGAATAATTTATAGCCAAAGAGATGCTTTGAATTTTACAGGGCCAGGGTTACTCTTTTTGAAATCTTCTTGCATGTATGTCAGTTTGCAGTGATGATCTAACACATAAGTTTAAAGGTTTCACTGTAATGAATGAAGAAGAACGTTATGAGGCCCTCAGACACTGCCGCTATGTAGATGAAGTAATCAGAGATGCTCCATGGACGCTCACAGCAGAGTTTTTGGAAAAACATAAGGTATTTTTCTTCCTTTTTTTTAACCTCTTCCCCTACAAGCCAGTTTCATACTAGCGATGGTGCCAAATACTTCATATTTATCATGTTTATAAAGCATAGTTGGACTCTAACTGAAGTGTCTTTTGTCACCATCCTTAGTATATTATTTGTGTAGTTCAGGTTGTAATTCAAAAGTGGTAATAATTCTTTCCTTTTGCTTTTAGTTGTGATGGTAGCAACTATGAAAAATCTCCTTCCTTTTCTTGTCTTCTTTTAGATGCTATGCTTCAGAATTTTAGAAAATGTAATTAGGATTTGAGGAAATGAAAAAGAAAAAGTTTTTATGCAACTATAATAAAAAGGGGAAATATATTTTCGAACATCAACTCCGTTTCAGTAATAACAATGATAGTGCAACTGTATTAAAATCCTGTATGAAATCTTCTTTCCATCCATTTATCTATTATTTTAATAGGCCTTTGTTATAGCATTCCAAGCCTCCAAATGTCCAAATTAGCATAGCATTTAGGCTTATAAACCATCCCATAGAGCTTTACAGTGCTTCTGGATGCTTTACAATGCAAGCATTATTAGCATATTGCCCCCAACAATCTGGGTCCTCATTTACTGACTTCAGAAGGATGGAAAGCTGAATCAACTGCATTTAACCACTAGACAACCAGAGCTCCTAATAACCAAATTAACAATACAGTTGCAGAAAACTGGATTTTCTCCAAAGGGTTTATAATTATAAGCTTATATACAGGTTACTTATATATTTTGAATTGAACTGTTAATAGTTTTATTGCTATGCAAACATATAATGAAAAATCATACTGGTTTATTTAATTGTATGATTAGCTACTCTTCACTTCCTACTACAGGTTTATGTCATCCATTTCTCAATAATTTAAAAAAATCAAGTCAATAATTAACTATGTCTAGTCTTCCACTAATTGAAATAACTTTATTAAGTTGTATTATATTAATAAGCGTAACAGTAAAAATGCCATTAAATATTCTGAGATAAGTTTTTTCTTTAGCATGATTTAGCATGGTTCAGCCTAGTGACTACTATTACTGATGTGATATTTAATATAATTGTAAACAGCTTAACTTTAACTGGTATCACATATATAATTAAAAGGTTTTGTAGTTTCATGTGCTGCACAGATAGTCCTCAAGTTATGAATGTAATGGAGCCTGTCCATTCCATTCGTAACCCTAGGATCTGTGGAATGAATCTCATACCTTAAATGAGATCACTCCCTGCTTTTGCCCACACATTCAATATTTGAATGTGCGGCTCATTAAGTGCGGTATCTCAGGGTGAGGAAGGCGGGGGGGCCGGTAATGTTGGAATAGGCCACCTACTTCAGACCACCCAAGGCCTGAGCCACAGATACCTCATTCACCCTCCCCTGGGGTCCCCACAATTGCTTAACCCCCATCCTGACATGCCAGGTGACTTACGCTATGAAGATCTGTCTCCTCTCCAGCCTGTTTCTTTACCTGCTTCCTTCTTTCTCATCAGGAAAGGGCTTGACGAGTCCCCTGGCGATGAAAAAGGAGGTCTGGAGGAACACGTGTGGCCTTTTGGGGCTCCTTTTTCATCACCTGAGGCTTCATCAAGCAGATCACTGGTGAGAAAAGAGACCTGGAAGGTTGCACAAACCCCACTGGGCCTCCTTTCTTGTCGGCAAAGTGCTTGATGATTGCTCCCCTTTAGGTTTCAGCAGCCCTTTTCAAAAAGCCTTTGTCGGTAGGGACAGAGCTTCGGGGGGAGGTGCCCGCTCCTCCCAAGCTCCGCTGGTGCCAACAAAAGCTTTTTGCAAAGGGCTGCCAAAGCATACAGAAACACAAGCTCCCTGTTTGCTTCAGCAAGGAAATGGCAAATGTAGGGAAGGCCTGAAGGACCGAAGCCTTCCTTCCATTTGCAAACATCCTGGCCTCTGTTCACAGAGAATAGAGACCTAAAAGTGCTAGATTACATGAGATCAGTAGCACAAGATCTCGCGCTGCTGATCTTGCATGATCTCGCAGTACAGTAGGCCTCTGTTCTTGTGAGTAAACCAAAAGCTTGAAGCAATAAAGCAGGCAAAGAAAGCACGATAGAGAGGAGATCTTCACAAGGAAAGTGAGTCTCCATAGTCAAAGTGCCTGTGAAGACCTGGCTGCTGGGGGGCCGGGGAATAGGCGGGGCGAATGTTGAAGAGCCTCTTCAGTCATTCGTAAGAACGAACAACTGCTATGACACTGCAATATTCATAATTTCAAGACTTGTTTGTAAACACTAGGGGGCACTTATTGTGTAACTTCAAACGTTCACTAAGGGAATGCTCGTAACCTGGGAATTACCTGTACAGTGATATAAAATCTATTACAATAATTTAAAATATATTTATTTAAAATCTGTTTAGCAAGTAAGGAAATTAGGTTTCCAAAGTAAGGGACAACTTAATTTCCTTTTATTCTGTATTTTTAGATTGATTTTGTAGCCCATGATGATATTCCATATTCTTCTGCTGGTTCAGACGATGTTTACAAGCATATAAAGGAGGCGGGTAGGTATGCTTTGCTATTTCTTTAAGTAGCTAACATTATAAGTAGCCTCACATAACCATCAGACTGAAAAAAATGCTTACTTCACTGGACTTTTTAAAACCTTAAGTTTTAAGATCACAATAGTTTTTAAAAAGCATCCTTGACAGGTGGCAAAATAGCCTTCAGTTGAATATTACCACTGAAGAGGAATCCATTACCTCTCTAGGTAATTGTTCCACTGTTGAGCCAATTTTAATGATAGGATATATTTCTAAAATTCAGTTGGAATATGCCTTTCTGTAACTATTATTCTGCACTCTGGAAAAAAACAAAACAACCTTGACTTTCTTTATGTAACATCCTCGCATATTTGAAGAATGTTGTATATCCTCCCTCAGTCTCCTCAAACTTTTTCTGCCCAACTTTTTCAGAGGTTTTTATTTCCATTTCCCTGATCTTCCCCACTGCCCTTCTAGTTTCTTTGAATTGTTGTGTGGTTCCCAGAACTGAATCCAACACTCAAAGTGGGATCTGATCACACCAGAAAAAGTGAAATGATTACTTCTTGTGATTTGGAAATGACTCAGACTTAAGTATATTTGCTTGTTTGGCAGCAAGGATTCATTACACTGCTTTTTCATTATCAGTACTCCTAAATGTCACACTGTCCAATCTATGCTTAACTAATTTACTAATCTGAATGTCATGAAGTACTTCAACAATTTTTTTGCTAATGTCAAAGTATGTTGGATCTATCACATTTCTACAATCTTTTAAAATTATGTATGAGAGAGTGCTTTCAACACAGTCTTGACTCTTGGCTACTGGCTGTAACAGTCCATGCAGATTCCTTGGAAGTAGTTTTAGAAATAGTTTGCCCTCATCTTCTTTATAAGGCTGAGAATAAGTGGCTCAAAGTCACCAGTTGGTTTGCTGCCTAAGCAAGGACTAGAACTCATGGTTTCTGTGCCTTAAACACTATACCAAATTGACTCTCATTATAGAAATGACCCTATCTAATAACATGACATGGCATGATAAGCAACATGGTGTAACATAACAGCATAATATTTAGGAAAGACATTGTCAGGCTACAGAACTTTTCCCATTCACTCAACTAGAATGAACTTCTGAAAACGTATTAAAACGTATCAAAAAGGAATCCTTTACTGAGATGAGACAATTCCTGTAGGAGTTCAAAGCAGCGTCTGAGATCTCTCAGGCATACAGGGATACATAAGGGAGTTTAGAACCCTTCCCCTTATCTCGATGTGTATTTAGTGAAACAAAAGCCACTATGTTAATTCCTCCCCACCCCTTTTTTTAAAGGAACGATCTTTTTCAGAGGTTCCCAGGGCATACCTAGTTTCCCCCCACCCCCACCCCCTTTTTAGAATGAACTATTCAAGAGATTTCCAAGACACATCCCACTGTGGAATTTTTATGATCTTCTCATTTCCTGGTTGTGCCTCTCAGAGGTGATAGTTCTGGCCATCTGGCTTTTCTCCCTCCATTGTATCATGTGTGGGTTATACAAATTCAATATAAGATTAAATATATTCAGGTTACATAAGAAAGGATTTCTTTATCAGCTCCTCCCCCCTTTTCTTCTTCCACTGAAGAAATGACAGATACACGGATCTGACAGACATGCCCTTGACAAATGCTTGCTAATCTGGTGATTATGGCATTTTTTTTCCAAAGTACTTATAAAACTTACAAACTTCTCTAGAAATTTCCTAGCAATCACTATATAACTAACAAAGATGATAAAAGGTCTTGAGGCTAAACCATACCATGAACAGTTAAGGGAACTAGGTTTGTCTTGCCTAATGAAGAGAATGATTAGGAAGAAATGATAACTGTCTTCCAGTACTTGGAGGTAGACAGATGTGGGGTCAACTTATTCTCCATAGCACCTGGAAGTTTGTTAAACAGAGATCCTACCTAGAACTAAGGAAAAATTTCCTGAGGGTGAAAGCAATTAACCAGTGGAAAAGCTTGCCTCCTGGACTTGTGGGTGCTTCATTGGTTTTTTTAAAAAAAGATTGGACATCCATTTGTCCAGGATGGTATAAGGACTCCTGCCTTGAGCAGGAGGTTGAACTATAAAATATAAGTAAATATTTCTTGTTTACAAGAAATACTTTCTCAAAATACTTTCCTTATACATGACTTAAATGTGAAATGTTTTCTCAGTATCCTAGCTATTGTAAATGCTCCCAAGGTAATAGCGTTGCATAAGACAGTTGCCCACTTTAAGAGAGAATCAGCTATACTTAAATCATCCCAGAAAGAATTTAAGTAGCTAAGCTGCAAACATCATAATGTATAGAGAAAGGACTCTTGGAAAAACCAAGTTCAGTCTATTTGTTTTTTATTCCACATAAAGATACTAAGGCAGCTTCAAATAAAAGTTTGTAAAGCTGCTCTCTATACAATAATTTGGGCTATTCGGACCAATGTGGGAGAGATGACGATTTAGCAAGTTTGTATCCAGTTTTGATTGCCATGATATAAAAAAGATGTTGAGACTCTAGAAAGAGTGCAAAGAAGAGCAAGATGACTAGGGGAACTAGAGGCTGAGACATATGAAGAACATTGCAGAAAACATTGCAGAGATAAGAAGAGTTGGGGTGACATGATAACCGTGTTCCAATATCTAAGAGGTTGCTCCAAAGAAGAGAGGGTCAACTTATTCTCCAACACATCTGAAGGCAGAACTAGAAGCAATGGATGGAAACTAATTAAGGAGAGAACTAACTTAGAATTAAAGAGAAATTTCCTGACAGTTAGAACAATTAACAGTTTGCCTCCAGAAGTTGCAGGGTACTCCCACACTGGAGGTTTTAAAGAAGAGATTGGACAATATGCTCTGAAACGGAATAGGGTTTTCTACTTGAGCAGGGTGTTTGGACTAGAAGGCCTCCAACTCTCTTATTCTGTTATACCTCCAAGGTCCCTTCCAGTCCTATGATTCTATGATTTCTATGATAACTGTTTTGGAATTCACTAGGTGGGTGAATTCACAGGTGGGTGCAGCTGTGGTGTGTGTCATGTGACTGAGTGACCATGGCCAACTCAATATCACTCACAGCAAGTTGGGGTGGCGCAGGCGGGCCGAAGCGGCAATGGCTGTAGCTTTAGACTTACCTTTGTGCAGCAATGGTAATTCTCCTATGCCTCTTGCTGGGCCTCACTGCCCAACAGTCAGAGTTTTAAAAAAGGTTTTTGCAGCAGGAAATGGTGGGTGGCTACTTCCGGCCCTTGTTGGTGCAGCTGGACACACAACCCCTCCCCGAAACACTGGCCTGCAGCCGCTGCCACTTTTTTCAGCGGGGAAAGTCTGCAGCTGCCACCGCTTTTTTTCAGCATGAGAAGCCTGCAGCCACCACTTTTTTTCAATGTGAGAAGCCTGCAGGTGCCACTTTTTCCCGGTGCAAAGGGCCTGCAGTCACCGCTTTTTGCCAGTGCGAAAGGCATGCAGCAGTTGCCTCTTTGATGGATGGAACTGAGCCAGGAGCGATAGCTGCAGGCTTCCTGTGCTGGCAAAGAGGTGGCAGCTGCAGGAATCTCCCGCTGCTTTTTGCCAGCGCGAAGGGCCTGCAGCAGTTGCTTCTTTTCTGGCTGGAACCGAGCCGGGAGCAGTGGCTGGAGGCTTCTTGCACTGGCAAAGAGGTGGCGGCTGCAGAATTGTCAGTGGGGGAACATGGGGAGGCTCGGACACCTTTCAGACCCTGCTCTGGGCTGCCACATGCTCAATCTCCACTCCACCTCAGGTCCCACATCCAGCCAAACAAGGCCGGTGGATGGGCAAGCAGGCAGCCCTGGGAGGAGGCATTTTCTCTCAGGCCTTGCACCCAAAGGCTCCATGAAAGCTGAAGCTAGGCCCAAAAGGTGACTGAGCCTTGACATGTGTCTCTCCTCTACCAAGGTGGTCCTTCAGCTGAGCACAGTAAGCCCTCCCTTCCCTGCCGTCAGCCTTACCTTCTAGCCATGGGGCTCGTAACGTTCTCATAGCAGCGACCCAGCATATAGACAGAGGCCTCAGGGAAGGCCAGAGCCAGGGACTTTTGCATTCCCCAACTGGAGGCGAAGGGTGAGCAGGCAGCATGCAGGAAGAGGCCCCAGGGAAGGCCAGTGTTATTCCTCTGTCAGAGTCTGAATCCGAGGAGGAAGACGAACAGCTGACAGGGAGCGAGAGTCAGCTCTGTTGGCTGTGGAGGAAACTGGGGAAGGGCAAAGTTTGACTGGGCAGAGCAGGGGAGAGATAGAACAAGGCAGAGGGAGTTCAGAGGAAGACACAGGCCCACCCCCTCTTCATCCTAGGGCACACAGGAACAGAGAAGAGAGCAACATGGGTTACGTGACTTATGGGGTAGGAAAGGGCCCTGATTCCCTTCATTAGCCACACTTTGGAATGAGAGTTTAAAAGAGGTGCATGGTGAGTGCAGCAGCTGCTGAGAGCAAATGTGAGTTTATCTTGTGTTGACTTTAGTTATCTGTGTTCCTGGCGTCTTCCCAACCGTGTTGAGTTATTGCTATGCCTTCACGTCTGGAATTCTTGCTCCTGCCCTGCTGAACTAATTACCCCATTTTGCCTTGATTGGACTTATAGTTAAAAAATTTTGTTGATCACATTTTGAACTTGATTCTCTGTAGCCAAAGGCTGTTCCTGGGAGAGTTTTTCTCCAGCCAGAAGGTAACCAAGACATTGGGGGCAAAATTGGAGTTACTGACTCCTATTGATTATCTGACTATGTTGCCTTTGTGCGGCTTGCGGGTGGCGGCTTGTGGATGGAAGGATGGCAAGAGCCAGGCCCGAAAGGTGGCCCAGCCTTGCCATGTCCACCCTGAGGTAGCCCTTCAGCTGAGTGCCTTACCTTTGCAGGCAGCTGTGGTGAGCAAAGCAGGTGAGGTGCAGAGATCAACTGGTCCATGTGATCTGGGCAGACAAGCAAGTGAAGGAGCCAGGGAGTAGCTGGGCACGGGCACGGGCACGGGCATGACTAGCCACTGG